GGGGGCCACTATGAGTTTTAAATTTGACAGACGGGCCAGTAGCCAGTAGCCGGTGAAAACATATTTAGCTGTCCACTCCTCATTATACACTCGGCACTCAATGTTGACTTTTCTTTTCTTTGGTCCACTCATTGTTACAGATGCAGGTTCAAAGGTGAATTAGGTTCAAAGGTGAATTATTGCGTCATTGCGTCATCGTTTGCATCATGACGTAACCGTTTACGTGCCTTCTTATGACCCACACAGCGTTTTACGTCGCTGATTTTCTCCGCAACACCGCTCACAACAACATCAATAGAGGACTGCGTCGGGTAGTTTTTAATCATACGAAGCCAGATTAAGTTAAAGAACTACTTCTCCAACCTTGTACCTTTCTCCAGAGTGCCGTGGTGTATTGTTTATTAATGTGGTTCAGCTGCATTACCGCCCGCTGCAGTGCTGCTCGTCTACCGGAGTTTATTCTCCCGTTAACTCGCGGCAGCGGCTGCTGTAAAGTTTTCATTGTCTGACTGTTACAAGCAGCTGATAAATATCCCTCATCCCCATAAGTGAATGTGTTTTAGTCTGAAAGCTGTTTGGTATCACAACGCTGTTATGAAAGTTTCTCTGGCATTCTACATGTGATGTTAGCTAATCAGACTATCTTACTTGTTGCTATCATATTGTGGCATAAGACGTTTTCTACACGCATATTTTACCGGCGTAGTTTTCGTTATGATTTTACTTGTGATGGCCACATGTAGCCCAAGTATTGATTCCATCCGATAGTTGCAATAATACAAAACAAAAGGAAAACGTCTGCCCGCTCTTCACAATGGTCAATAACAGTGAACGGATGGTTATTAAAGTAAGGTCAAATAAACAGAATCACACTAAGCCTGGTTAATGTTGCCTGACTTTATATAAGTGTTTTTTATAAGTGTGTGGTCGCGTTCCAGTCACTTTGCTCAGCGCTACTGCTTGTTACAACTTGTATTAGCCGTACTCGCCATGAACTGTTATTGCTCAGGTTAATCTCGACCCCCTCCAATGTAAGCGTGACGTATTTGGTTCTTTGATCTTGCCGGGTTGCCGAGTGGGGCCAGAGAATAGACCAGACTCCAGCAAAGGTCAATTGTGTCTAGAGTGCGCCATCTAGTGGGATCAACTGAAATGCCGGGTATTGCAGGAAAAAGGCTAAATGAATGCGGTCTTTACTATAATTTGGACAATTTTGTACCAATATTTGGCGGGCTGGATTCAAAAGCCCAACGGGCCGTGTATGGCCCGGCGGGCCTTAGTTTGTCCATGCCTGGTCTATATGCAAGTTAAAAAATATGATATATTAGGTAAATAGATAAATATGTTTTAAGTAGCAGCCGAGGCCAGATGAATATTAAGGATGTTGTTTCAACAGTTCAGGTGTTTAACAGTCTTATTGCCTGTGGGACTCAAATGAGCATTATTAACATAAACAGATAAAACAACACTAGAATACGTAACTTGATATATTTGGGTGGTAAATGTTTGTTTCATTTCATGCCTCACTGACCTCCCCCTCCTCTCCTTCTCCTCTCCCTTGCAGACCTGCGCTGTGGACATCTTCTCTGCTGGTTGTGTGTTTTACTACGTGGTGTCTGAGGGAAGCCACCCCTTCGGCAAGTCCCTGCAGAGGCAAGCCAACATCCTACTGGGCACATACAGCCTCGACCATCTGCTAACTGATAAACATGGTGAGCAATTAACCTGCTTTTGTCCCTCACATCACTCTCAGATGCATAATTAAAGTCATGCAGTTCATTTTGATTAATAAGGGCAGGTAGGCTGATGTGATTGATGGGTTGTTTGTATCTGTTAATTCACGGCAAACAATTTATTGTTTTTTTAACAATGTATGCCGTTAGATCATCATACCCTGCAAGCACATCAAAACCAGCCTGTTTGTGTTATTTTCCAGAGGACTTTGTAGCCAGAGCTCTGGTAGAGCAGATGATGAGCATGGAGCCCCAAAGGAGGCCTTCAGCTGAGAGCGTTCTCAAACACCCTTTCTTCTGGAGCCTGGAGAAGGAGCTGCAGTTTTTTCAGGTCAGCTGTTTATCTATCTTCCTCTGCTTACTGTAAAAAACACTTAACGGCTGTTTTAATGTGGGTACTGTGCTACTACAAACTCATCTGTACACACACTCCTCTCAGGTTACTTTGTATTGGTGTAAATCCTCATTTCTGTTGAGCTCTGATTCATCATTATTAAACTTCTTCATACCTAAAGGCAATGTACATGGCTAGTTATAGCTGGCTATTTCAATATCATTTGGACAGTAATCTTAGGTTGTCTCTATTCTTCACATATTTACTTCACATATTAGAATGGTTGGAATTCCTCTAAAGCCACGTCTGAAACTAGAACTTAATTGATATGCTATATAATAGATTTGAGGTCATATACAGAATAAGAATGACACTTTTTTTGTTGTGGTTGCTTGCAGGATGTGAGCGACAGAATAGAAAAGGAACCGCTGGACGGGCCAATCGTGAGGCAGCTGGAGAGAGGAGGGAGGGCTGTTGTCAAGGGTGACTGGAGAGAGCACATCACAGTGCCACTGCAGACAGGTATGAAACTGGCTGGAATGTAAACATTCAGCCACAATTCAAGCTCCTGGTACCCCCCCTTTTTAAAATAATGTTTGATATGTTGGTTAACATGTAGGGTTTCGGTTGAGCACATGTGAAGTATTTCAGATTAAAGCTAGTTTTGCATTGACATGGTATACTTTCAGAGTGGCACTGAATGCAATATCCTGTCACCACAAAGTGTTGCAGTGCTCGCTAAACTGAGCTTGCTACTTCCTGTCAGAATCGTCACCCGCTGAAAACCACACCCTCAACTGGTTCTCTTTGGACTTTGCTCTCAGTTTATTTGAAAAATGGCACTGATCAAAATACAGAGTAATGTGAGGTCATAATATATTAAATTCCATCTTCTAACAACAGAAGATCAAATTATACTCGTGTTTTTCTATATTTACAAGCAACTACCTTTTAATATCTAATTGTTTTATACTTGGCAAACTTTTTTTGACTGTTATACAACCCTTAAAGTCTTTCCCTTGAAGTAATTCAGACACCAGGGGCCAGATCAGTTTGGCTGATTCAGGATAAAGTAAAAAGACAGTTGTATCATCTCACTGTTTATCAATTCCTTGTTGAATGATTTTCATTTTGTCTATCTCTTCCTTTGGCAGATCTGCGGAAATTCCGCTCCTATAAGGGAGGCTCGGTCAGAGACCTGATGCGTGCAATGAGAAACAAGGTAGGAATGTGTTGAAGTGTTTTCTACTCAGGTCTTACAGTACAAATCTGTTTCTAACACTTGACCTTTCTCCTTCTTCAGAAACATCATTACCGGGAGTTGCCTGCTGAGGTTCAGGAGACGCTGGGCTCCATCCCTGATGACTTTGTCTCCTACTTCACCTCCCGCTTCCCCCACCTGCTAATGCACACATACCTGGCCATGCGGACCTGTGCATCTGAGAGGCCATTCCTGCCTTACTACTCCACTGCAGATGAGCTTGCAAAAACACAGACCCTGCACACACACCTTGGGCCCCAAAGACAAAAAGAGCCATGTACTCAACCCTCAACAACACACACATCTTCCCCCTCTTCACAACCACAGGAACCTACACATTCGTCACAGCCAGCGCAGGTCCCTCACACAAATCCTGCTGAATCAGCTTCCTCTTCTTTACCCGATGAGCCTGTAGCTTCACATTTGCCAGTTGAGACAGTGGAGCCAGCTCTGTCCACACAGACTGACCTGCAGAGTCCAACCGTGAACCCCACACCTGCCTCAGAATCACCAACAGATCCTCTCGTGCTAGAACAATCCATCCAGTCTGAGGTGCACGCCCTGCCAGGTACTTTGATACTGGGTAATGAATCAGTGTGAGCTGAACCAGAGTCAGGTGGAGCCAGCACAAACGGGAGCATTGCCTTCAAGAGTGAGCACCAAGTTGGGCTCAGCTGCTGCAGTATGAGCTGGTGAGGACCAGGCCTGCAGTGCCTGCGATCCACCGCTGGGTGCAGCAGCTGTTCCCTTAATAAGTGCCTTCTGCTCACCTGGGTTAAAATGTCGCCCAACAGAACCGTCCACTTGTTGTTGTTCTTGCTTCGAGGAAGTCAGATGAGAATCAGGGTGATGCAGGACCTTATATTGTAGCTGGACTGAGCAAAGAGATGTTTTTTATTTTCTATCAGCATGTCCAAAAAATTGTGTTTATCCCTAAAAATATCTGGCCTCTATCGTGGGAAACATGTCTGGATGTTGTTGGATAGTTTTATAGTGCAATGTCGTATTTCTGAGTGAGCCTCTTCACTGCACAGATACTGTATGTGTATTTTTGTATAGACGGTTCAGAATTTGGATGAGGATAATGAATTATGTATTGAGGCCGATGTGCCTTTTTTTTCTTTTTTTAAATATCACTGTGCTGTGTACAGATCTTAAAAAATGACTATGCTAAGTGTGCTTGATTCCAGTTAATGCTGCTAGACTGCTTCTCTTTTGTCAATCAAGAATTAATGTGCCGACTCCCCAGCAGAGGCCTGCTCCAAATGGTGTTCAGGGTGGCACCTGAATACAGTGGGTAATGAGATTATGTAGTCATAAAAGAGTTTAGCTGTCAGGCAGCAGAGCTCGCTTAAAATAACTTTTCAAGGTTTTTAAAGTGAAGTTAATAACTTGCACATTAAAACGTTTTTTTTATACTAAGATTTGGTTGTGGATTAATGTTACTGCAAGTCAAGAGGGGGATTGGGAAATGTGGGATAATTAACTACTGTTGGTTCCTAAAAACAACTACTTATATTCAACAGATATTTTTACTTACAGGTCAGGTGCTCTGAGCAGCTGATGGTGTATTTACTGAATTGTCTGAGTGAGCTGTTGCTACAGTTAACATTGTTGGAGAAACCTACAGTGTTAGCTTTCTCTCTATCTGTTTATCGAACGGCCAAACCCACGGCAGGAATTTGACTGCAAAGTGCAAACAAATAAAAAAGGTCACTGGCATAAAAGAGTGGCATTGAACAAAGGGCAGTACAGAGCCAGTGTGTGAAGCACTGCACTCTCCAAGTCACTCAAACATGCATATTTATAATTATAAAACCAGCCTCCCATATAATGCAACCCAATGAAAAAAGAATACAAGAAGTAACAGAGTAACACTGTTACTTCTCAGCTAACATTGGAAAGTTGCTTTTTTACAATAGGTAATAAAAAACTCACAATATAGCACGGTTAATGCTGGGGTGTGGCTCAACATAGTTATTTACCAATACGGCAGTGCTTACGTCAAACAGGTGATCCCGCCTTCTTTTTCATCTGATTTGGATGCATCAATTGTCTTCTATACATAATGCGCAAAATCTGCTGCAAGACTCATCAGGCCTGGTACCTGGGAAAATACAATTCTTACCACTTTCATAGAACTACATTTAACTTTTCGAACAAAAGTTGACCAATTTAAAAATAAATACTGCTTTAAAGGGAACGGAACTAGCTTATAGTCATTTTAAAATGAGTTCCTCGTTTACTCCCCTCATTAAGAAGTGCAAAAGAACACTTTTTAATATACTATTAACATTATGGGGTTAGTGTTAACTTTACAAACTTTGAATGTGAGGATTTTGATCAGAATACAAATATTAAACAAATAGTTTTGCGTTTGTTGCCTGTAGCAGCAGGGGAAATGTTACAGCTCTACATTATATGCGCAAATGTTGGGTTCGTCTTTATTTGTCTGACTGTATGGTGGTATCTAATGGACAGGGTTTGTCCCATAAGCAGTCTGGTATTTTCTCATTTCGTGAAAAACGAAACTTGGTGATCTGCGCAGGCGCAGTGGGTGCAGCCCAGTAGAATATAAATAGAGCAAAGTGAAGAGTTATCAGTCCTGCCTTTAACGTCTAACATCGTCTGAACATTTTTCACTGAAGGTTTTTTTCCCGAAGAAAATCCAGATGAGAAAAGTACAGCGGCCGATTGCTTTTCAGTGGGCTATTCATCCGAGGTAAGAACAATGCACCAGGGTCAATCCAGAATTGAAAAAGCTAAAAACATGCACTTGTGTTAAATGTACTTGTCTTGAGACAAAATCTAGAAAAACTGGTTTTAAAATATGAACTAGCTCTCGAACATTCCCTAAAATGGCATTTTTCTTGGTGGCCGACTTGCAAGTCAAATATAACTTTTAAAATAGGGTTTTTATTTACTTTTTTGGTATTATTCTATTGATATCAGTCTCTTGTAATGGTCAAATCAATCCGTGTATCTACCGTCCAATTGTTTTTCTTTATTAAACACGTAAACGGAAGACCGCCTGAGAGGCGTTTTTGCTTTTTGTTTTTTACCTTACTAAATGGTCAAATGGTCCTTGAAGCGAGGGGCGGGGCGAAACTCACGGAAGTGATTTCAAAACAAAAGCACTCGTTTGCTAAAATCACACTTTGAATCACTACAGTATCCTGCTGAAGCAGGACCGGTGATTATTATAAACAAGGGGAATTTAGCGATCACAACGAAAACGGCCAAGACACATATTGAGCCCAGAAAATGAATGTTATTAAGGGCTGTAAATATAATAAGCCTATGTCTAAAATGGACAACATTGTTAGGAGATTTAAACTACAGCGATTCTGCACTGCGGTCACTCAGCCGCCTCTCGAGTTTGTTTGTTCAAATCAGCTGCTCTTCATTATTCCTGCTATATTTGACGAGTGATACAAATAGTTTTTACCACAAGTTCTTAAGGAAACTGACACTGTTGGACTCGGTTCTAGTTTGACTTCTACCAGAAATAAAATCAAGTACTTTTACTGTGTACTTTGTGAGTCAATGTTCCCTCCTGAGAACCAGAATGCATGTTTCTCTGCTATTTTTAATAAGCGTTAAAAAACCTTTCTTCCTGAGACTGATATTGTTGGACTGAGTATTTTTAAGAGGATGGTAGACTTGATATCAGCAATATTTCCAGTCAGTACTCCGGCAGCAGCATTTGTACCCCTTGGAAAGTCTTTAGTCTAGCCTGGATAGCTGGTGTATCCTTCAGCAAACTGACACACTCTGTCACTCTTGTTGCCCTCTTATGAAGCTGCTGTCTTTTAAAATATGATTATTTCTCTGCTCCAGTTCATTCCTCTCAGATTCTTCCATCAGTCCCAGTCATTGCATGTCAGTCAACAGAGCTTCGAAAAATGTGTCAAATTCAACAAAAAATGTTTTGTGAGTGAAGGCCAGAGCTAAATTATAGATTGTTTGATTGTGTAATTACAAGGTGAGAGAAAAATAAATCCACATCCTCCTATGAAACGTATTTTATTTCCTTTTCCATGTTATATTTATACTTACTTGCATTAGAACATTTGCATGTTGAACTACATGCTGGATATCTTCCCCAGCCTCTGAGCCTCAAGGAAATACAATAAAATAAATTGATTCATAATTTAAAAAAATTCATAAAAATGTAAATTAATAATGTTGTGTGCAAACATTTCAAATGTAAATATAAAATGAGATTTACTTTTGAAATGATTTCTCACAAAAACCTTTCGAAATTATAGTAAATTATTAAAAAAGTTTTAGTCAATATACGTTTTTCTGCCTAAAATAGTTGAACGTAAACTATATCAAACACCACATGCATGGCAATTAACCCATTTTTGCCCGCTATTTAAATAGACTTTGGTTAGTTAATAAAAATATTGATATTATATATATATATATATAGCATATAATTGATGCAGTCTTTCTGAACACTTTTTTAAAAAAATACTGCAAATGAAGAATATTTAAAAAATGTCTGCACAGAAAGTGCCCTAACTTACAGCAGTTGAAAATATTTGTGAAAGGATAAATTATTCATGGGCTTCCATGGCTCTAGTATGGGTGTTTTATGGTTGCTTGTATTATCCTCAGATAGTGGTTTGTTTAAATAACTAGTGACATTTTAATAAATATTGCAAAAAAAGGCTCCAAAAAAGGCATATATAACCTGGCCGGCTTAGCCAGTGAGTATTTCTTCAAGCACCACAAGATTCATAGTTTATAAAGTACAATTCTGGGTCATTGATTGTGTCATTTCTCCAAACACATACAGTAAAAATGCCTGTTTTGAAGCCTTAAAATTGTGCAGGAAAAGGACTTTACATTGTATTATACTTAAAGACAGGGCTATTCAGTTAAGAGAAGAGAAAAAGGAAAGGAAATTGTTATAATGGGTGATTTAACATTAATGACAGACATAATATGAGGTCCTTGGCACTCAGACTCTAGAGGGTCATGTTGTGATCATGGGGCATCACCCTTACAGCATCAGGACAATATCATATGGAGTCAGACCTCACCCACCTCACCTCTGCCCACTTTGACAACCTAGGATGGCTTAGAGTAGAGGACAGAGTACAGCTACTTGCAATGGGCCTGGTCTACAAGATCCACTACACCTCTATGGTACCCATGTACATGTCAAAATTCTTCCCAAAGGTCAAGGAATACCATGATCATAACACCAGAGGGAGCTCCTCAAATCATGTGAAACCCAGATTTGGCACAAAAAAGGGGGAATACACGTTTCGCAATTATGCCACATCAAGGTGGAACGCTCTTCCCACAACTGTAAAGGAAAGTAAAACTATACTTACCTTCAAAACCTCTCTTAAAGAGCACCTTCGGGGGAGAGCATTGCAAAACTGGCCCCGGTAATGGTACAAATCTCAACCTGTCGTACAATGGACAGCTTCCCCCCCATGCATATATGTATATACTCACATTTTAGACTCTGTTACTAACTGTATATCTGTAGACTTGGTATGTCTTAAATGTCTGGTTAGGATGTATTAGAACGAAATCTAAAATGAAAATTGTAAATAAGCAATCTGTAAAAAACCACCTGTATGTAAATTGTAAATAAGCCATCTGTATGTCAAATATGTCTTAAATGATATGATGAATTGGAAATGGGGGACCCTGATGTAAACAAGACGAAAGTCTTTCTCTGGTCTGCATCCCCTTAACAATTGTATATTTTGAGCTGTACTGTACTGTACCCAATATACAAGCTGTTAATAAACTTTTCAATCAATCAATCATGATAAAATGGCCCAACTTTTGAGAGCGTGAAACGTCACAGATTACCCGGCATGCCTGAGAAGTACCCGTATGTGCGCTCATAGCGCATGCGCAACTTTAACCAAAATGCTCGTTCATATCAAGCACGTCAATTGGCGTACACGTAACAGCACCGCGCGTTCATGACAGCATGGATTTGATATTAACGAGGCGGCAGTTAGCAGCTAGCGGCTAGCTAGTAATGATGCTAATGTACACATCAATCGTTATGTACTTATATTACGTTGTAACAGGATCTAGTGATATCCAAGCAACAGAGCTTCATTTAGCATGAAATAATTATTGCACTATATACACACACAGTAGTGATGGCAAAATGAAGCTTTGAATGAAGCGTCGAACCACTTGGACAATTGTGTCGGAAATAGGTTCATTTCTCGAAGCTTCAGTTACAGCGACCTCTCCTGGCGAAGTGCAAGGCTGCAGTGGGTTTAACGTATCTTTGCCTTGAAAAATATTCGATGCACACACACACCAAGACTAAATATCATGTTCTATTTGCAATTAAAGATTGATAATTGTGTGTATTGGGTTATTGAGAAGAGACTAGAGAGTGCTAGACATGTTTTTGGGCAGAGAGGGCCTTTTATCAGTTATTAAAGTTGAAAGACCCACTACCCACTGGGCTATCTATTCCTTGAAATATTTTACTGTTTTTATATTACTGATAATTGTCTTTTTGTTCACAACTTCTCCACATTTCGAAGTGTTTCCCGAGCCAGAACGACCTATCTTTCTTCCTGGCTTGCTCTATAATGATATCAAATGCAATAACAACAACAACTCAACAGCAATAACGCAAACTACGACAACAACCCACACATTGTGCATTGTTTAGAGCGGTCATAAAGTGTTGAAGCACTCAAGTTTGAAACTGTTTCAACCTGTCACCTGTCAGAATCGAGACGAGGCAGAGCATTGAATCGCGTGAATGGACCGTGAACCAGTCAAGTGATTCATTCAGGAAATGAAGCAGTTGCTGCTTCGGACGTCACATGTCACGTGATTTGAAGCAGTTGCTGCTTCGGACGTCATATGTCACGTGATTTGAAGCAAGCTTCGAAGCACTGCTTCTATGGAATAGGAAGTCCAGGGTGTCAAACTGCCATCACTAACACACAGTGCAATAAGCTTCTTAGTGCAATAATAAGCTACAGGGACGTTAATCTAACGTCGGTAATATTAACTTTTCAATACAACATTTACGGTACAAGATTTAATCATACAGCCCATGTAGTATACTATTTTACAAATTATGAATTACAGCAAACATGTGCAATATATATCCATTATTACGGCTCCGTGGGATGGCAGTAAGGCGATATGGGTCCGTTGTTATTGTGCATCCATGGGTAAAGATAAACGCATGTAGTGCTGAACACGTAACATGAACGTGTAGGGGGGCGCGGTCCCGTGGGTTAGATGCGCGTTCATAATGCAGAGGGAAATAACTCTCAGAATAACGTTATTAGCACATTTTTACAACTTGAGGAACGAATGTTTTTAATAAGGGCTATACAAGTGTTCATACTGGGTAGTTTATTTAGTTAAAAAAAAATTATCCAACGATTTACAGACCACTCTTTCCCCATGTAAGTCAATGGGAAAAAGTGTTTCCGGGCCTGGCAACCAAACGGATGTGCAGTACCACCGTTTGGCCACCACGAATATTTTCATCTGAGTCCGGCGCACTTCCTGGGGGCTTGAGCTAGACCAGGGGTGCCCAACCAGTCGATCGCGATCGACCGGTCGATCGCGGGGAGATTCCCAGTCGATCGCGAGATGTGTCTAAAAATAGAACAACAATATTCTGTTTTATCGTTAATGTCCTATAACATAATCTTCCTGTGCCAGAGTAATGCACTTGAACGCATCAAAGCTTTG